TTATTTTGAAACGTGTGGTGGCAAAACGGTATATCTGTGAATTCATTTGGTTTGTAGCAGGCTAGGTAAAGAATTTTTTGTTGTACGGCTTTGAGACGTGGCCTTACGACCAGCGGAATTGAAAAGTTTCGAAAGAAATAATAAACGAATGTTCCGTTTTGAAACAAGGACTTCAGTCGAAGCTGGTGCACATCAAAATCTGCCGTGGCTTCGTCAAGATTATGAAAGTTCACTCACCAATATGGAGTACGTGGATGGTACTGCTCTTCTTGAGTCAGGTGCTTGACAGATGGAAATCACTCCAAATAACCTGAATAGTTTCTTATATGCTTCACAACTACAGCTCTGCAATAAGGCTCGGTGCGACCGAACTCAAACCTTTACAGACGAGTCAATCAGCTTGGCAAGTAAATTTATTTCCTTGACTTGTATGAATTCGCTGGACTGACAGGAGATAAGACCGGCTTTCGAACCGGGAGGCCAGAACAGCTTTTGCCAACCTTCGACACCAATGGCTTCCAAATGTGTGAGCAAAGTACGAGCCATACTGTCTTACGGATCAGAATCGTGGTCTTCAGGGTCAAATTATGTCCGAAAACGCTTGCTAATTGATCATCAGTACCTCCGAAGCACTGAGCAGCTCTGGTGGGAATATCGGATAAGTAGTGCTGAATTAGGCCAGATGGGGATACTGGAACTCGACATTGGTTGATTACACTGGCAGAAATGATTCACTGGTGCAGTGATTAGCCATCTTGCATGGAGACTATCGCCTTCGGTGCGTAGTTGTCTAGTTTTAAACCCCTTCAGTTCATTCATCGCCACCAATGCCTGACTAGATCTCCTCCAAAAATGTAGCAGTTGGAACCAAAGTAATTTTGGTACGTGGTTTACAGCTGCCATACTGGAATGAATGACCAAAGATTACCTACAGTGATACATTGGTGCCAAGCATAATCTGTTGATTGTATGTCTCAGTAACAAGTAGTCAGATGTATGGAAGGGATATTTGAAACTATGAAGAGGCTTCACTCAGAGTTGCGGTCAGCCTACCAGTAGGAAGGATCGGCGTGTTTTTTTCCCGCGAATCGTCCAATCATCTACTAGGGGCCGTGCAGTACACAAAGAAATAGCCTCAGTATGAAACACAAAGGTGTACGTTATCGGTTGCAAAACAAGTCTTCGAATATTCAAGCATTCCGCTTTATTCCATGCAGCCGAAATTCGTACCTGTAGGACACCGGTGAAACGAAATAACCTGAACTATTTGCGCAAATCTTATCCATCAATCAACTACACTCTAACTGGCCAATTTTGACCCCACCACTCCTTTTAGGTGTGATTCGATGTGGTATTCTTGTCGTGGGTATAAGTAAAAGCTTACGTTTAGTAGCAGGGACAGTCAGGATCTTACAATCTAATTCTTCCTGGACGTTCCTTTGATTTCATAGGGATAAGGCTGTGCATATATACAGGATTTGCCCAGGTCCAACTTTTTCCTTACGCTAATCAGCACGCAATTTGCATCTCGCCTCTCGGAATTAACTACGTGTTTGCAAGTAACACAAACTGAGACGTGTGGCATTTGCCTCCACTCCCAAGCCCTGTGGTATCTACACTTCGCGCGGTCTTATTTTCCCGTATTATGTGGTCTGGCCATTACCGTGTTCCGCTTTCGGAGGTCTGTCAGAAGAGTTCTGGTTAGCGGATCTGTCCCAATATTGGCCAAATGATCATCAGGCTTGGAAAATCATCAGCGAGTGAGCTATAGAACATTGGAGGAAAAGTGAGAAACGGACATTCAACACTGTGTGTCCTGGCCTTCCTTACAGAAGGTGCAAGTTTGACTGCTGGTGCATTCTTAGTAGCCACATGAGCATAATGACTGCGTATACACTCAAGTCTCAGTTGAACCCATCATCCGGGCGATACCAAAACCATAAAAATTAACTTTACCTGAGTGCTCGAAATGAAAGTTGTGTGCAGTGTCTCGGTGTAGCATTTTTATGCGAATTCTCCAAAGTTCCTCTGCAAAGTTTTGCTAGTGGTGTAAAGAGTGCTTCCTTAGTATTTTTGTGAAACGTTTTGTGGTAGTGACACAGCCGCCCATTCAAACACCGATCAGTAACAAACTGTAAGATAATTTCACACCTAATAATGCAGTAATTCATGCGATAAGTTCATGAGCAGTTACACTTAGCGGTTCAATGAAATTGCACATCCGGTCGCTGTGGGAGACGGCGTAGAAGCCAGTTCGGCACATCTTACCACCGTGGACATGTAAAGGACTAGCTGTTGACCGACTAGTCCAGTTGCAGATACCACAACTTTATCGCACTGTTTCTCAGAGTCGAAACAGCTCTTTAGAAACGTCTGTACTGATTGAAGTTGTCCTTGAGCAGATTATTCTAACGGGGGAAACACATACAAATGTCACTTGAACGGATACAGCTTTGCGCATGACATAGTGAGAAAACCGTGTTGTACGAGCCAAAGACACAAACACCTAATTTGAGGTCAAAGAGAAATGAGATGAGTGCCCCACAAAATTCGTTAGAGTGTACGCATTTTGAAGAAAGTAACGTAGAATTTTACTGAAAAGTCGCGGACCCCTCTGAAACTATTTTTTGAATATCTTGGTTCGTAATTTTTAACAGCACACCACCCCCAGCACAAAAGTACAGCTCCACAGGTCAGATTTTTAATTTTCAAAAGCTATGGGGACTGATTCGTAGAATTTCCTTCTCACTTATATATGGGAAAAGAATGTCGTTGGATTCAGACCCTGTGATAGTGTAAGCTAATCTCCGTCAAGAGGCGGAATCTTGTCGAAGTACTCTGTTATATCCTTCGTGGAATAGACAGAAACTGCATGCTCGCACTGGGTGGGAATTCCTTTGAAAGGATGTATTCTCAAGTTATCATCCAAATACGTTTGCATATCAAGTATTTGGCTAAGGATAAATGAACCCACCATTCAGTTTTCTTGTATTGCACAAAGGGAGTACATCCTTAGGCTGGACTACTGGTACACTACAAAGGTGTATCTTTGGCGATTCCTCGTCGTATACGTTTTTAAACTCAAAGTGATGCCTGGTAAAATCTACTGCAAAAAATGTAGTTATTGATTTAAACGTTGAGAAATCTTGTCTGCGATGAAGTTATCTGGTAGGGGTAACTCTCATCAACTTCCAACAACTGCCAAACAACTAGCTATCCGGAGAAGGTTGAAAAGTGTATCTATCAGTACTTGTTTTCGATTTTCCTGGTGGTCAGCCTCTGAACTTTGACTTTGTAGAACCAAGCGTGTTTTTCTTTCCTAGACATTGTCGCACTTGTCTCTTGCTACCACAAATAAGTCCGTGTGACAAATCGAGCGGGGTTCTTTTCTAGTGACGCCACAGAAACAAGAAGATATCAACATGAAGTGTCCACAAGTCAAACAGTGAAGTTCAAGTAAATTATAGATATTTTCGCCCCCTAAGTATGACCACTACAGTGATTGCCTTCGATGGATAATCTGTTGAAAAATATTGCAAAGCGCCTGCAACCCAATCTGGAATCTGTTTCTACGTGTCGAAAGAGCTTGCTTCCGAAGGGCTCCTACACATCCGCCCAGTCAGTCATGTAGTGCAGAACTGTTATTATGATTTTGAGGGTCATTTAGGCTTGATAATCCAGGAAATTCTGTAGACAGATGTTGAAGCAATGTGTTCCATAGAATGAGGGGCTCGATAATCGCGTCTTGTGTTTTCTTTGGCAGCATATTATGTGCAAAACCTTGTTGCAGGAACAGCCAGGTTCTTCCAGTTTAGCTCTAAAACTTATTTGTCCGACCCCTGACAACACGGCCTCATCAACTTAGCCATTTCTGTGGTAGCCTCAACTTAATGACACCTTTGTAGGAAGTACTTTTCAATCACACGGTCCATCGCACACGATCTGTTTAGATGCGTCCCTGCAAATCACATTCAACTTTATTGTTACTCATAAAGAATAAGCCTGGATAAATTTATGAAGGCCATGCAATCAACTTTTACTCCCATGACGGTTTTCCAGAGAGAATCATTCCTTATTTGTCAGCGATGCTTCCGCTGAGATAATAGCCCCATAACAAGCACTTTTGCTGACTGTAAGTTCAAGGTGCTCTTCACCAACCGACTGAGACTGATTCATTGGCTCAACGAGAGACCAAACGAGTTTTCAGGCAGATACACTGGCCAGACGATGAGGTAATTGGTTGCACCCAAACCTGAAGCATTTGAAGTCTTCATACCATTGTGGTCCCGTGAACATTGTCATTCAGGCAATTTACTGAGTACCACCGTGACAAGATTTTTGGATACCAAACCAGCAGACAGTTTGCATTGGCCTTCATCATTCAGAGGGAGGTGAAATGGCTCAAGTGGTTAGAGCGCAAATCTACTGACCGGAAAGTCTTTGGTTTATCTGCACCTCGACTTCTCCTGTCTAGCCTTAGGAAAACTGGCAGTATCTATGCCCTTCTGCTTCCCGCCAGCTGAATGGCAGTTAGGCACCCAGACTTCTGTGAACAGAAAAAGTCAATTTGTGGTTTAACAGTGGTCTCAGAGTTTGTGTGAATCTTTCGTGTAAATTGGTGGTCTTTCCCGTTGTACTACGAGTTCTTACATAGAAAACAAGCACAGAGAAACAAATGGTCGGTGGGGCACTGTGGCCCATCTCTTGGCTCACAATAGTCCAGTGGGATTAGTTTGATTACAAATGAACCTGTAGGACCAGATTTACATAATCGTGCAATCATAACAGGCGATTTCGAACCAAGCCAAGTTCAACGGAAACAAATCACACCATATTTGTCTGGATAAGTCAAGGGCATTAAGTATTTGTATTCAGTAAAGGCCCGCAAGTATTCTGGCCCAGATTCATCCAATATTATTCGTACTAGAGATTCGAGAGACGGTATAAAATAAGCTGGCGGTGGGAGCGCAATTCGAAGAGAGTGTGGTAGTCGAAATACTATGCGAGTTCCACAAGCACTTCTCCTGTTCACCAGTGCCTTCTTGTTTGTTAACGCCGGGAGTGTGAGATACACGGATTGTGGTGAGTGCTTCCGTCGCTTAGGGTGGCTGTTTCGTATGTGTTGAGGGGACTTATCGATTTTATTCGAAATCGATTATCTTCCCAGATAAATGCTCCAGTGTCATTGTATCTTCGTCTGAAATAGTACAAGTACTACGCATTGCTGAGCAGTTTGACGCCCTCAGACGAACACTGATATTTCCCAACACAGCTCTACCAGTCACTGTCTACCAGATTGATGCAAACACCCTTAAATATCGCATTTTCTTTATACAGGCTCCAGCGTTTCAGTCTACTCGGTCGCCGTGGAACCGTGCTATGGAACACCGTGTTCGCTGACCAGGGGAAGCACAGCCACCACGCAGATCACTTTCCAGGCAGGTAAGTCCTACCACTAAACAGTGGTGTCAATGCGCTTGATCCAAACTGATATTCCAATGGGCGCCCGTGACCTCGTTGCTCACTGACCACAATAAACTTGGCTTTCCAAACTTCACGAGAGGTTCTTTTCGCATATTGCTGGTAAACTTAGCGTGACTGGTCTAGCGCAGATTTAGCACTCATTATTTGTGCCAAAATCATTAGGATACGTGCATAGATGAAATCATTCCTCATGACAAATTTAATTCATTTTCAAGTTTTTAAGGCTTTGTAATCGCACTTGTGCGTGGTATGTTTTACTTCACTGGTGAAATACACCGAATATTTCTTTAATTTTTTTAAAAATTCTTTGCCAGGGCATCCGACTGAATGATTTGTCAGAAAGCAGCTTTCGAAAAATGCCTGTGAATTTTTTTTATCGTTTCCACAAATTTCAGGTAGTTTAAATGTAAATATGTGCCCTGTTGATGTAGGGCTCATAACCAACTAAGCACATTTCCCTAATGAAATCGCGGGTTTTTATCCGACCAGACTGTTGCAAGGCGCAGGAAATAAGACTCTAGCAGGCATCACCAGTTGAATTTATATCTTGAAAATTGCCTGTAAAAGCACCTTCCGTTTTAGACGAAATACGCGACTCATAAGCTTGCTGAAAGCCTTTTGACAACGCATAGCCTGTTCTGTCCTCCTTGGGGCCCATCAGGTAGGCGTAGTCCCTGAATTTCCGTCAACCAAATGTTCTAATTGAACCCGAAGTTAGCGAGTCCCTCGTGAAAGCCGAAATGGTTTTCAAATGAGTGTATTTTACTATCTCACATTTTATTTGTCTGCACAAACTTCAGTGTTTCCTAAGTAAGATCATCAGAGAAATCCAAATGGTTCACCAACACGTCATTTGTGCCACAAAACGTTTCGGATAGAACAGCAACTTAACTGTGCGACTTTCCGTCCGGTGTGATAAACATGTCCACTGACACAAATTTTCCTTTAAAGCGTCAAACTAGCTTGCAAGCCAGCTAAGCGGATTAGAGAATCAGCTGGCCAAAAGCGAACTGCAGTCGATTAATCAACCAAACGACTTTGCTGAGAAGCATCTAAAATAGAGTCAACCTCCCAGATCGCAGCTGGTTTCCTTGAGGTTCAATACACTAGAGACCCTAGCTTAGTTCTGTCGGAGAGGACAGTAAACTTGGCTGTGTAAAAAGTGTTTTGCTGCACGAATCAGTTTGAAACCACAGGTGAGGGCAATGCACTCATCGCTGATCAGGACGATGAAGTCTGTTTTCTTTTACCTGTTGTTTTATCTACTAACCTTATCCGCAGTTACAGCAAAACTTGCAATATAAAACTGACGTAAAATAATTTGGGAATCACCTTTCAATGAGAACGCTAAATTACTACCGAAAAAACAATACGGTCTATCGATCGCAAAGCACGCACCTACAGCCAGGTCTAATGATGATATTCGCTCATCATTCAAGGTGATAACGAAAAGCAGCTGGTCAAAGGGACATAAATTAATCGAGTCATTGTTGGTGAATCGATCAAAACCGGTGGCAAACTGAGGCGTGATCCCGATACTATAACGGTTCCATTGTCCGGTCACCTATGTGAAAATGAGTTAAAAATCTCATTTTACCTGTAATTCATTAGTTGGACCATTCTAGTTCGTATGATAACTTTTCTGGTTCGATTAGGTAAACGGAATGTTTTCTCCAATGGTACACTTTACAATGCACTGTTCAAATGTCATCAGACCGTAGCAACCCGCTATCAGCATTCGGATACCGACAGTTACCCATTTATATCGAGTACCCAAGATACTGACAGACAGTCCCACTCGCTTGTTATTGGTCATTGTAACTTGTATGGTTGCTTCTACCTCTCAGGCCGGTCTGCAGGATCTGGTGGTACGGTCGAGGTGTCTGGTATCGTTGGAGGTTCAGTTGTCCCTGTCGATTTGGACTCGCCGCAGATATGCGGACACGTCCAGCCGAGTTGTCCTCTTCAATCAGGACAATGGTACACATATACGAAGCCCATGTTCATTGGTCAGTCCTATCCTGAAGTGAGTCATAACAGGTTTACTGTGATTGCTTGCCTCAATTAAGCTCATCAATATGTAGCTTTTGCTCTGGCTCACAACATTGGGACATAAATGATGGTATTCCTCATACAAAAACAAGTGCATAAACGCACACATCAAAGTAACAACACGTATACCTTTGTTTCAGGAGAGATTGAGTATATTTATTCACCGACGATTCTCCAAACCTTTATGAAGTCTTATCTTGTCGATTAGTTCGCACGCATGTTTAGTCTGGATTGACACTGACTATCTGTGCTAAACGATGCCTTAAACATACACAACTACGCTCTGCCTTCACACTCTTGTTTCTAGATACGACTGAATGTCCGCTGGGTGCTAAGAAACTCACAGGGCGGACAAATGGTATGTGTGGAGATCCCGATTCAACTTGTTTAACCCTTAATCGTGATCTAACGGCGGGAATTTGAAAATTCGTGTTCCGCATCAGTTCTGGTTCCCTTATCTCTTCTTTTTTGCATGTCTTATGGTGACTGTCTTTTCTTGGACACAACCATTCTGAGTTTTGGTTTTCCTTCAAGTACAATCTATTTGTCAAACAAAACACTGCATTCCTTTCTTATTGTGACGTGACCTACCTTCAAAATGCTGCGCTTTCGCTGGTGTAGTGGTATGGCTACCCAGTAAGTTAGTTTACCATGAGTGTGTGGCAAAGAAATGTAAATAATTACGCTAGGTTGGGTATACAAAAATAAAGAGATCAGATGGAACAAATTCACTAACAATTATTCTCTTTAAAATGGTTCGTCGTTGGCCCAGGTCAGCGAATAAGCAATAATCCAATTATGTTGGTCCAGAGGTCTTCTTCTGAACAGTCCCACATATAATAGATTCCGAAGATGGTCTGAAATGTTTTGGTACCACAGTTAGTACATGAGACTCGCGAATGACCGCTGCAAGTGCGAGCGAAATCAGAAGAGAGAGTCGAAGCACGTGACTACGCTTGTATTATGTGAAATTGTACAAGTGCGCGTTTTTTGTAGTTTTTCGTATTCAAACAAAAAATGATTATGCAATTGATGAAATACGTAGTGTTATAATGGAAGTAAAATAAATGTACAAAACGTCACACTGGTCGTCTGCGTTCGTTATGGTCTTTTGTATAAAGCAATGCATTGGTTTTCATGTTTTATACAAGTTGGTGAGTCCAAATTCACACTTCTGTAACCTAGTGAAGACGGCCTGCAGTTATGTGGACACAGATGTTCTCCAAAGTTCATTATCGATTGACAAAATCATAAGTGCAACCTAGTCCACTGGGGTGATCTTTGGTTACGAAAATGGTGTATTCCGAATTGGAAAGATGTCGCACTTGTCATAATGAAAACCCTAAAAAAAGCCGGTTTACTCTTTCCAAACAAAAGAATTCACTAGGTCTGGTTACGAGGTAAATAAACACGTCCGTTTGCTAGTTGTTCTGGTGTTACCAAGGGACTCAGATGAATTGTTTGTCATATTATTCAACCACATTTGCTGCACGAGGACTGTAGAATGCTTTGACGTATTCGGGTAAGCCCAATCGGATGACGTGTGAAATCACAGGCCATAAATTTCGGGTTCTTGAGATTTATCAATAAACGCGTAGCTACGTGCGTGAGATAGTTAGTAAAAGGGGTACACTCCGAAAATTATGGATGTTCCTGTCTAAATTGTTGCACAACGTAGTACAAATCCATTAGAGGAAGCCTAGAGAAGGTGACAAATTAATCCTTCATCAGCGACACTTACCTGCGTACGACACGTGGTAACGCAAATGGTCGAAAAGCGAGTCTAAATGATGGCAGGCCAAATTGGTTAGAAATGTCAAGCGTTAAAAGTTCATAGGGGGTTACAAATGCATATCGGGTCTATCAGGTAGGCGCAGTAAGCAGCAGGCTCAGACAAGGGAATGGGGTTGACCGGGGAAAAGAAGTACACCGCCCCGCCAGAGCCAGCTTGACTTTCCCACTCAGCACCGGACTTTGAGTAGTGCAGTTCACCCGAGTCAAAGGTGGCAAATCCTGGCACGCCGATGTTAGCTTCGAGTACCCAAGATACTGACAGACAGTCCCACTCGCTTGTTATTGGTCATTGTAACTTGTATGGTTGCTTCTACCTCTCAGGCCGGTCTGCAGGATCTGGTGGTACGGTCGAGGTGTCTGGTATCGTTGGAGGTTCAGTTGTCCCTGTCGATTTGGACTCGCCGCAGATATGCGGACACGTCCAGCCGAGTTGTCCTCTTCAATCAGGACAATGGTACACATATACGAAGCCCATGTTCATTGGTCAGTCCTATCCTGAAGTGAGTCATAACAGGTTTACTGTGATTGCTTGCCTCAATTAAGCTCATCAATATGTAGCTTTTGCTCTGGCTCACAACATTGGGACATAAATGATGGTATTCCTCATACAAAAACAAGTGCATAAACGCACACATCAAAGTAACAACACGTATACCTTTGTTTCAGGAGAGATTGAGTATATTTATTCACCGACGATTCTCCAAACCTTTATGAAGTCTTATCTTGTCGATTAGTTCGCACGCATGTTTAGTCTGGATTGACACTGACTATCTGTGCTAAACGATGCCTTAAACATACACAACTACGCTCTGCCTTCACACTCTTGTTTCTAGATACGACTGAATGTCCGCTGGGTGCTAAGAAACTCACAGGGCGGACAAATGGTATGTGTGGAGATCCCGATTCAACTTGTTTAACCCTTAATCGTGATCTAACGGCGGGAATTTGAAAATTCGTGTTCCGCATCAGTTCTGGTTCCCTTATCTCTTCTTTTTTGCATGTCTTATGGTGACTGTCTTTTCTTGGACACAACCATTCTGAGTTTTGGTTTTCCTTCAAGTACAATCTATTTGTCAAACAAAACACTGCATTCCTTTCTTATTGTGACGTGACCTACCTTCAAAATGCTGCGCTTTCGCTGGTGTAGTGGTATGGCTACCCAGTAAGTTAGTTTACCATGAGTGTGTGGCAAAGAAATGTAAATAATTACGCTAGGTTGGGTATACAAAAATAAAGAGATCAGATGGAACAAATTCACTAACAATTATTCTCTTTAAAATGGTTCGTCGTTGGCCCAGGTCAGCGAATAAGCAATAATCCAATTATGTTGGTCCAGAGGTCTTCTTCTGAACAGTCCCACATATAATAGATTCCGAAGATGGTCTGAAATGTTTTGGTACCACAGTTAGTACATGAGACTCGCGAATGACCGCTGCAAGTGCGAGCGAAATCAGAAGAGAGAGTCGAAGCACGTGACTACGCTTGTATTATGTGAAATTGTACAAGTGCGCGTTTTTTGTAGTTTTTCGTATTCAAACAAAAAATGATTATGCAATTGATGAAATACGTAGTGTTATAATGGAAGTAAAATAAATGTACAAAACGTCACACTGGTCGTCTGCGTTCGTTATGGTCTTTTGTATAAAGCAATGCATTGGTTTTCATGTTTTATACAAGTTGGTGAGTCCAAATTCACACTTCTGTAACCTAGTGAAGACGGCCTGCAGTTATGTGGACACAGATGTTCTCCAAAGTTCATTATCGATTGACAAAATCATAAGTGCAACCTAGTCCACTGGGGTGATCTTTGGTTACGAAAATGGTGTATTCCGAATTGGAAAGATGTCGCACTTGTCATAATGAAAACCCTAAAAAAAGCCGGTTTACTCTTTCCAAACAAAAGAATTCACTAGGTCTGGTTACGAGGTAAATAAACACGTCCGTTTGCTAGTTGTTCTGGTGTTACCAAGGGACTCAGATGAATTGTTTGTCATATTATTCAACCACATTTGCTGCACGAGGACTGTAGAATGCTTTGACGTATTCGGGTAAGCCCAATCGGATGACGTGTGAAATCACAGGCCATAAATTTCGGGTTCTTGAGATTTATCAATAAACGCGTAGCTACGTGCGTGAGATAGTTAGTAAAAGGGGTACACTCCGAAAATTATGGATGTTCCTGTCTAAATTGTTGCACAACGTAGTACAAATCCATTAGAGGAAGCCTAGAGAAGGTGACAAATTAATCCTTCATCAGCGACACTTACCTGCGTACGACACGTGGTAACGCAAATGGTCGAAAAGCGAGTCTAAATGATGGCAGGCCAAATTGGTTAGAAATGTCAAGCGTTAAAAGTTCATAGGGGGTTACAAATGCATATCGGGTCTATCAGGTAGGCGCAGTAAGCAGCAGGCTCAGACAAGGGAATGGGGTTGACCGGGGAAAAGAAGTACACCGCCCCGCCAGAGCCAGCTTGACTTTCCCACTCAGCACCGGACTTTGAGTAGTGCAGTTCACCCGAGTCAAAGGTGGCAAATCCTGGCACGCCGATGTTAGCTGTGAACCTCGCACATTATCTTCCGGCTACCCCGTGCACATATATATATATATATATATATATATATATATTAAATCAAACGAAACGACAGATGAAATCCTCTTGTATTCCCTGTGGTTGCCAGGCAAGTGACACACAAAGAACAACGACGTTCTTTCATGGCTTTCCTGAATTAAAGGCCAGGCTGAGAACCATCGGCGATGGGCGTGCACCGGTGGCTACCGAATAGGTGACCACACATATATATATATATATTAAATCAAACGAAACGACAGATGAAATCCTCTTGTATTCCCTGTGGTTGCCAGGCAAGTGACACACAAAGAACAACGACGTTCTTTCATGGCTTTCCTGAATTAAAGGCCAGGCTGAGAACCATCGGCGATGGGCGATGCACCGGTGCTACCGAATAGGTGACGAGTAGACGGACGTATCATGGTGCAAAGTAACAGGACGACTAGCCTCGCTGGGAGTACCCACCCACCACACGACGTTTACATCCCTCGTTCATGCTACCAGATCTGAAGGGTTACAAGCCACCAAGCAGTTATAATTGCTATTTGTTTACTAGTTTATCACAACCACCAGACATTTTATCCGGTCGAGGGGGAAGTGAAGCTAGCAAAACTGGTCAGTCATTTTGAGCAACCAAACGGTAAACAGCCTTTGGAAAAGGTAAGTCAAGGAGCAAATGCAACACCAGCTATCTTTTGGACCATGGGAGTGGAAGTGAGATGTTCAGAGCCTATGTACTCTGACTAAACGACGACAAAGGATTGTTGTGAACGGCCATGTCAAGTAGAGGGGCATAACAGCGTTGTGTGTGTGAATGAACGGGCTGTGGAATAAAACAAATATTTCTTTCATTGCGCATCATCAGACCAACCATTTGATGTGCGTGCACTGTGCGTGCTCAGGGAATGCGGAATCGTTCTACACAGTGAAAAACTAAGAATTCGATTCGGCTAAGCTTGTATTAATCTAGTCGATGCAAGCACCACACGTTAAACAGACCTGACAGCATTATTCAGAGATATGA